TATATATATATACGCAACAATGTTTTTACGAATGATTACAGATTTATTGAAACGATCGAAGCCAAGCCGAATAATCATCGTGACGTCAGAATTATACGTTTTCGCGAGATTAAATTTAAACAACGTGAATCCAACGACGACGATGCCCGGCTATCTGTATTACGTTTCCAAATACGCGAACATCGTGTTCAGTTTGGAGTTGGCGCGACGCCTAGAAGGTTCGGGGGTGACAGTGAATTGTCTTCATCCGGGGTTGATAAGCACAGGTATATGGAAAGCCGTGCCGCCCCCGTTTTCGTGGATGCTGAACTTTTTGCTGAACGTTCTGTCGAAAACGGCCGAGCAAGGGGCCCAAACGACCATACATCTCGCCGTCTCGGACGAGGTCAACGAGATCACCGGAAAATACTTCATGGATTGCAAAGTAAGCAAAAAGAAAAAAGGATTCTTCTTCTAATTTTAATTTCGTTTCACATCGAACGATGATGATTGTTCAGGAACGGGAATTATATTGCGGTGTCAAGGATCCGGCACAGGCTAAGAAATTTTGGGAGCTCAGCGAGACCATGGTGAAACTTCAATCGTCGGATCCAAAAATTTGAAGATCGAACGCGAACTATTTTTTTTTTATTTATATATATATATATATAATATACAACACACACGTACTTAAGTATTTCGAATATATATATATATATATACATGCGAGGAAAATACTCGTAACTCCTCGCGATTTAACAATTATTTAATATTATTTTAAATAATTTTCGATAATATTATTTAATATTATTTTTTCGTATAAAAATATTAATTGGTAATCGAATAAAAAATGTTTCATCGTTATATAATCGTTTTGTTATCGTTTAATTTAAAAAAAGAGCAACTTTAACCAAAAGTTGTTCATACAATTTTATCATAATAATTTCGAAATTGGCAAAATGGAGAAAAAGAAAGGATACATTCAATGTTTCACTGTTCTCGAATTTTGAGAGGGCAACGGGAACAATCTTTCCCATATGCGCATCCTTTCGGGGAAGAATTCAGTTTTCATTCTCGAATGAAGATCGATCTCCAGATAATTCGTTTTCGAGGGGTCGAACGTTTCCCACGAAACGTTCTTGAATCTGTCATCGTTCCTTGGAATCGGTTCCCCGTTTATCACGAAATTGGACCACATGCTCGTGTAAAGCTCGACCATAGGTGCTTCCGGTGCGTCATCCCCCAAATAGGGGAGAAACGAGAATTGCTTCGCGTGAAACAGATACTGCAAGTCGTCGTGATGCGACGGATCTGAAAAACAATTTTTTTACCTTCTCAGCTCCAATGTAAAAGATAGAAAGTAAGTAAAAATTTTTTTTTTTCAATTTACTGTATGCTGTATCATTGCTCCATCTATAGAAACCGTATCGTCCCTCGTACGTAAATTTGTAAAAGTATACCGGCTCTCTCGAGTTCGATGCGAACAATTTAACCGCTCGATACATGGGGAATATGGTTATACAATCGCCGTATACCTGCGAAATAATTTATATATATATAAAAAATAATAAATAAAATAATTTATATATATATATATATATTTTATATATATATTTTTATTAATATTAGATTTACGGAATCCGTCAATTTGAATTTGAGTTTTCGATTTTATGCTGAAATAAAATTCTGAATATGCAAATAATATTATTCTTTAAACATTATATATTGGTTTTTAATGATATAACGCAGCAAATATATATTTCTATTAGTTTTCTCTGGAATATTTATATTTTATTATTTCTAGATGTTGTATATCTATTTTTAGGAAAAAAATTCGTCAATTTGGCGGGTTAATTTATATAGATTAATTATTGCGAAATAAGAAAAAGTAACACCAAGCAAATGACGATAGTTTAGCAATAAATACATGATTAAATATACGAGCTGTTTATATAATTGCGATATGATAACAAATAATTCGTTCAACGGTGAATTTTGCAGAGAAAAGAAATGATTTTTGACTGTATCTGTCTTATTATTTCATAAAACAAATAGATTCATATGAGAAATAATTTCAACAGTGTAGTTTATAAAAAAAAAATAAGTGCTATTTGGAAGTTCAGCAAAAATTTATTTTCGTAAATGAAGATTTGAATTTTTCAAGATATTTTCAAGATCTATTCAAAAAAATATATTTTTTTACGTTAATTATTATGGGCAAATTTTCAAAAGACATGGAATTGATAAAAAAGAATAATAAAAGAACCTAACCTAACTTAACTCAATCTAACTTAACCTAACCTAACTTAATCTAACCTAACCAGCATAAACGAAGACCAATCTGGATTGGATTTTATAAACAAATTATGCGAAAGTGAGGAAGAATTTGATAATATAAATAAAATTGAAGATTGACAACAATCGGAATGAAAATTATTACAATAAAAGAAAAAGAATGCGTATTATTTCACATTGAAAGCGAAAGTGAAATAAAAGATGCTGATAATGAAGAAAATACTGTGAAAGCAGGATCCCCTTTACGTGTTTTATAATTGTTTTTAGATTTGGCAGTCATCGATGTCTGGATTATTATATAAAGAGACCACTGGAGTAAACAAAATTCGAAAGAATTTTCTCTTTCAATTAGCTGAAGAAGTGGACAGTGACCATTCACAACGAACGAAATAATACTAGTTTCGATTCAGTGTCTGAGGTCTAACTATATTTGCATTAAATCTAACGAGTATATATGCATGGAAACTATACATCCAAGATAGAGTTTACATGTAAAACATGTATTGAAAACAACAGTAAATAAAAATCTATTATATAAATATATATAAAATATATATATTTTAAATAAATAATTTAAAGATTGCAAAAAGAATTGTAAAAAATTTTAATATACCCGTCAAAAAGACGGATTTCAGTAAAAAAAAAAAAAAAAAAAAGATATATACTCAATACCCGTAAATCTAGCGTTAAATAATCTCATCTCAAATAATGACATAAAGAAAAAGAGGAAAAATACGAACTTTGCCAAGTTGAAGGAGAGTCGATTCGCTGATCGTCTCGTCTTTGAAATAAAATTGTCTCAATTGCCTGCTTATGTAATTCGATCGCGGACTATCGCGTTCGTACATGCAAAAGATCGGGGCTACATTGTTCCAATTGTTGTCCACCTCTCGATACAAACTGCCGTTGTCCACCTTGTCGTTCCTCTCGTACACTGAAAAAAAAAATAACGACGTACAATACTGCGCATTTCGACGCGTTGAAAAATATCGAAGGCATCATTTACACGCGACAACGCCGGCAAATTCGTGTTCCGTGACCCCGAGTATGTAAGGAACTTGGTGGAATTTCCCTCGCACGATCGAGTCGTACGGTTGCTCGGACAGGAATCGTTCGACGCCAGGGACATGGGGCTCCACGGCTGGTGTCCATAGGAGAATGGGATTTCCGTACCAATCCTATATGAAGAGAAGGAGAAACAGAAAAAAGGGGTCAAATCAACAAGAAGTTTTTGTTTTTTAATTCTTTGCGCTCTCAGGCACCACTTATCTTTGATTTTTTGGAATAAATTGGTTCATAAATAGGTTACCTAACCTCTTTACGTATAATCTTATGACGCGTAGAATATATATATTGTCAAATGGCTTGAAATTTTTTTATTTCAAATTAGATCGCGAGTTGAACGATATCTTTGACGTTGGTTCGAATTCGGGAAATATAGAAATATTATTTCAACGTTTTTGAGTTTTATAAGAATACGAATAACGAAATTAGTTCGAGCGAAGACGAGCTTGATTTTTCGTTATTGAATAACGAAATTATTTCTATTCGTAAAGAAATTAATAAGATAAAGGAAGCGATGATGAAGATGGAGATGAAATAAGAGATGTAAGAAGGCGAGAAATAAGAATAATAGATTAATAGTGAAAGCGATAGCTCAAGGTATCTGTGGAAGCCACAGAAAATTCCAAATGGATAGAACATGCACAGAAATATATCATAGAAGAATAGAATTTGTTGAAAAATCTGCAGGACTATTAGATTTTTTTAAAACTATTTCTAACTGATGAACTCGTTAATGAAACAAATAATTATAATGCGATAATTTGCCCTGACAAACAAAGGATACATCTTAGTATTATACAATTGCTTCATAAAATATCACACGAAACAACAATAGACTTTCTAATATTCGATAAATTTTCTTTATACGTAAAGATGCATAAAATACTAAAATAAGAAAGTTTTATGCGTTACAATTTGCGTGCAAAATCATTTTAAGTTAGCTATAAGAAAACACTTGTAAGAGAGCGCACTTGTGGAGCGCAAAGAGTTACTAAAAACCAAAGTCAAGTACCGTCAAGTTGGCCAACGTGTTCGTGAAGTTTTCCACGGGTTTCTCGATCAAACAGTTCAACATAGAAGCGCTCGAATCGGTGGGACAATTCAACAGCCTGGCCTGCCTTCGAACCAGTTCCTTCTGCCCGTGTTCCGCGACACCTGTGTAGACTTCTGGCTTGATGGCCGAGGCGCTCATCGATATAGCTCTATGAAACAGATCTTTAGACATCGGGGAGACCATGTGCAACATTATGCTAAAACTGCCCGCGCTGTAACCGCACAACGTGACAGAACTCGGATCGCCGCCGAACGCGGCTATATTTCTTCGAACCCATCTGAACGCCTCGACCTGATCCTTCAGGCCCATGTTGCCGGGCGCCTCACTGTCGCCGGTATTCAAGAAACCTGAAATTTTCGAATCTCGGTGAATTCTCAAAGTTTTTGTCAAGGTGTCCAATAATAACTTTCTTTATTTAAAATAAGCGCTAGGAATTAATTGACTTTGATATTTGGATATTTTTATACGAATAGAATTTATCTATTAGACTGTTTATGACTGATAGGTTACGGTTCTCCTTTTTTAACACGTTGATTTTCATATTGATAATAAAAGTTCTCATCGAGCTACGTCACTCTTATTCGACTATTTACCAAGAATATTTGAAAGATATTGCATTGAGTAATAAAACTATCGAATTATTATAAAAGTAATTCAAAAATGGTTTATTAAAAAAATTATTTAGAATGAAAAACTTTAAAGCATTCTATATAAAACTGATTTGGACAATTTGGACAATATACGACTCGCCAAGACATAACTTTTCCATTTTTCTTTTCGACATTGGAACGAATCAGGACACAAAATTTTAACAATTACACCACTCGTTAAGATTCGAACTGTTTGTCGTGTAAAGTGGCGACCTCAACAATGTATGGATGGAAACAAACGGGAGATTATTCTTCACCAGCGACTCGTATTATTAAAATATTAGTGCGAATAATCTGTAAAAGATTTCATTGAAAACACGCGCAATGGTCAATGTGTTAAACTTTTTTCCATACTGTTCAATATGGATAGCCAAAGGAAGCATTTGCTGCGTCTTATGCTTCATTGCTTTAAAAAAGGTGATACCATTTACGGGAGTGGACTATTATGCGTTAAGCAATTGGTTTAAGAGATTTAGAGCTGGCAATTTTGACTTTGAAAAACGAAGCAACTGCCCACTAGCGACGGATACGGATACCTTGTCAAAACCATGCTCGCTAAAAATCCACTGAAATGTACAACATGGTACATAATCACCCAATCAAGATGGGATATGTCGATCGATATGAAGTTTGAATTACACGTCTGTTGATTTATGAAGAGATCCTTAACCCTTTCGCTGTGATTTTACCGGTCGCGGATAAAAAAAATGTGCACAGTGCTCGAGAAAGATCGTCAGTGACCGTGTTTATAGCATTTTTTTTATTTTTGGTGATTTTTATCATGGAGGAATCTCGTGAGAAATAAATGCTAAATAATTTCCAAAGAAAAATACTCGATGTATAATAATTCAAAGGTGCTCATGTGGACAATATTTTATGGAGAGCGACCATAATCGACTGTAGTAACGAAAGGATTAAAAAGTCACTGGAGACGAGGCTTGGATTTCAATGATATCAAAAAGAACGCTCGATCTAAGAATCTTGAACCGAAAAAAATTCTTTTGCCTATTTGGCGGGCGAATCAATTCTACAAAATTGTGATCGACTCGATAAATTGATAATAGAAAAGCGACAGAATTGACATTCTATCGAATCTTCAGATCTTGCTCCATCGGACTATTACTTGTTTCTATCATTAAAAAATTCTCTCCACGATAAATACAATTCCAATTCGTAAGCGAAAAAAGGAACTCGCCTCGAAGAATATTTTAATCAAATAATCAATAATTTTGGAAAGAGGGAATAATAAGGCTTCCTGAGAGATAAGAAGTAAACAATAAATATTATTGTATTCGTATGAAAGGAAAAAGAAAGAAATTTTTTGGAACACCCTATATATATTAACCTTATTATGTTGTATTATTCACCTAGAGCCCCAAGACGATAGTTAATCGTGACCAATACGATATCTTTGTCGAGTAGGTATTGAGGGCCGAAAATTGAACTTTGGCCCGAGAAACTGGTAAAACCGCCGGGATGTATGAATATCATAACCGGTCTCGTTACATTTTCGTTCTTGCACGGTAGCTAGAAAGAGAAAAAAAAATAATAAATAAATAAATGAAAATATTGTGAAGTGGTCGCATTGAAATTTTGTTTAAATATCGTTACGGTGATGTATTGAGTGCGCTTATTTACTTTAGTGGTGTACACGTTCAAACGTAGACAATCCTCCGCTTGCAACACGCCATCGGGATGAGGGCAACTAGGTCCTTCCTCGGTGGCATCGAACACGTTTTGCCAATCCGCCGCTGGGATTGGAGGCTATATTTAGCGCGAAAAATGAAAAGAAAGAAGAAATAATTTCTAAGATTAATAAATCAATCGAACGAAATTTTCTTTTAATCTTGACTCAAACTTTTTTTTTGTATTTTGGAAAATATAAAATACATATGTTTTTAACAATAATTTATTTAACGAGTTTGTGCTCCTTGTATATAATAATAATTATTCAGATAAGAATAATTTTTTTTTTT